ATGATAATGAAACCCTCTTGAGGTTTACTGTGGAGATAAAATAATACATACAAAGGGCTTAGAACAGTGTCTGGCTCAGAAAAATGCTCAAAAGCCACTATTAGCTACTCTTAGTCTCAGCTGTCAGTGTAAACAACAAAATATGCACAAAAACTTCCCTCAGTCCACAAAATCTGATTCCAAAAATTGTCAGTCACCTTACAAAGACCCTGTCTTTTATTTTTTAAAGCTAAAGGGAGGATAATTCTTTTATATCTTAAAATAGGAAATAAATGTACATTCATAATATGTAGACACATATAAAATATGTGACACAAAAATAAATGTACAGGCCCTATTCAACCCAACTGCTAGCCTCTTAGTAATATGAAACATGGGATAAAAAGTAGTATAGGATATAAAACTAGTAAGCCATTTTAAAGAAACTGAAGAGTAAAGACACTAAGAAAAAACCTGGTTATTCAACAATACCGAAAATGGTCAGAAAGATTTAAAATATATACTAGGTAGTTTCTTTTGGTGGTAGTAATTGATTTTTTTAATTAAAATACCCTCTCATTTTGTCATAGTAATGTGTGAATGTTTAGCAAACTCAATTTTAAAAAGAAAGTTAAAAATCCTTTTTTAAAAGTAAATACCAAATAACACAAAACTCTAAACTGAATACAGTTTCATAAAAAATGATTCCTCAAAAAAATAGTCCATGTGGATTTCAATTCCATAATAATTTCTCATTCAAAAGAAGTTAACTGCATATGACATAGTAAAAATAATTTCATTATCAAAAAGTAACTCTAAGAAGAACAGCAAAATTTTTTTGTTTCTGTGAATTCTAATTGATAGCTATTATCCCCTCCAAAAACAAAAAAACATTCAGTAGTATTCATCATTCAGAGTATCACCTTTCTATATATAGATTATATGCTTATGAATGTTAAAATGTATGACAGATGCTTTGAGATCTCTTCGTGGTCACTCAGTCTCAGAATAGAATGAGGCAACACATGGCAATACATTATATAACACTGTCATATCAGACAAAGCCACAAGGACTAGTGGAAGCAATTTTAAGACTGAAAAGATAAGACCATATCACCATTCTCCAAAAGTGGATTGTATTATATTTCTTTTTAAGTCTTCAAATTACAATTCTTATCCTTAGATATTAAACTCTACTCTCAGGAGATTATGGAATGTTTACACAGAGCTTTATCATTTTCCCTGCTAGAAAATAAAACAAAATAACCTAAATATCTATCTCTGGTGGTCATTACCTTACAATAGACATAAGCAACTATCAAAAAAGCAATGCTATGAATACAAACTACTAAACACCCTTTTAAAAAAATGGAAACACCAGAAAAAATAACAATGCTCAGTTGTTTTGCTAGAAGAAAAAAACTGAAAAGTTTAAATAACGTTCAAGATGAACCTAACAAGGACTGCTACCACAAAGATTAAAAGACAAAGATGATGCTACATCAGACAGAAATACAACACAAGTGGAAGTGCACATTTCCTGTTTCTTCACCCAACTGGACAGAGATTTTCTGCCCCAATTAAAAGTTATTCTAAACAGGGATTAAAATGACTAATAAGCATAACAACATTTTATTTTTAAGACAAGGATATTACTGACAGAAAACTTGGACTTAAATTTAATTCAGCTCAATTTGACCAAAACGCCTTTCATGTCCTAAGCAGTCTAAAGCCTAGAGACACCAGGATGAATAAAGAATGGTCCTCGCCTTGCGGAAAACACTGTTCACTGGAGAAAAAGTAGACAAACTACTATTGACACAGTAAGGACTACAAGTGAAGTGTGTACTAAGTGTAGAAAGTAGCTGGAAACATAATAAAGGTGGCCAATAATCCCACCCCAGGGATGAGTGCTGGGTGAGCACAGGGTTGGGTGTTCAGATTAGCATCTGAGGTGGGTCTTGCAGAATGAACTAGGCAGGAAAAGGGGCTGGCAGTGGCAGACATTCCAAGCTGAGGAAATGGTCATTTTAACCTTAAATACCATCATTACTGATTCTTCTGATGTCTCCAGGAAAAAGAAAACTCTTGTTTCAGGTTGTTCAATAGCCACAAATGTAAAAACCACAATGCCCACAAGCTTTTCTGGTCTTATAATACTGTTGCTCTTTGGAAAAGAAAAGGACTTAGTCATTATCTATTCAGTTGAAGAACCAATAGGAAACAGTGAAAGATTTTAAATGCTGTCACTACAAACAATAGCAAAACTTGCCATAAAAGCAGAGGGGAAAGTCCAATAAAGAGAATGTTAAATGATTCCAAATATAGAAAACGATCTAGGCCGGGCACAGTGGCTCAACGCCTATAATCCTAGCTCTCTGGGAGGCGGAGGTGGGAGGATGGTTCAAGGTCGGGAGTTCGAAACCAGCCTGAGCAAGAGCAAGACACTGTCTATACTAAAAATAGAAAGAAATTAATTGGCCAACTAAAAATATATAGAAAAAATTAGCCAGGCATGGTGGCTCATGCCTGTAGTCCCAGCTACTCAGGACACTGAGGCAGAAGAATTGCTTGAGCACAGGAGTTAAAGGTTGCTGTGAGCTAGGCTGACGCCCCGGCAATCTAGTCCTGGCAACAAGAGTGAGACTCAGTCTCCAAACAAAAGGAAGAAAGAAAGAAAAATATCTAAAAAGTACTTATTCAATTCAAATATCATTATTAAATAGCCATTATTTAGAAAGGATCTTCAGTCCTGGGCAGGATACTATGGTAAAGTCAAGTGCATCGGATTGTTTATTCACTGGCAATACCTGAACACCTAAAGATCAAAACTGGTTGTTACTTCTGAAACATAATGGCCTCTTCCTTCCTCTAGATTTCTGGTCTACCTTAGTCTGTGGTTGGCTATATGCTAAGAAGTGAAATAAACTTAATTGCAAAGGCTACGGCCATTTTATTCAGAAAAAAGCTTTAAGTTTGCCTTCTGATATGGACTTTGGACAAACAAACAGTAATCCAAACCACAAAGCTTAATCCAAAATCTAGGCCCAGGTTACCCTTCATAGTTGAGGAAACTGAGGTGCAAAAAGTTTGCTCTGTCAGATGAGTTGGAGATGATCTCAAGTTGTATCCAGCTCTTACAATATAAGCTTTTAGAATCCAAAAAGTTGGCTCTTCTGACAGCCTGGGAAGTTTGCAAACTACTTCAAGCTCTACTGAAGCCTTACCCAAACTTTGGGGGGTAGGGGGAAAATAGCCAAGCAAATGATCAAACCAGGAAAAAAAGAAGAGAATGACAAGAGACTGGCCAAAATTAGCCTATCTTTAACAACTTCAGTCCTAAGATCAAGAACCTTATCTGGGCACAATAGTTTCTCCTGAATTCTCAAAGAGGAACTAAAATGTAATAGCAAGAAAATAAATACAACCAGAGCCTAGGAAAAAAATAAGTTCTCCTTCACTGCTCTAGCAAAGCAATGAGCAGGCCTTCATAAGAAAGCACTGGGGCCTGTCAAAAAGTGTTCTGGAGGTCAAAGAACTGCCCTATGTAAGTGTCCCAACTCTATTCTGTGACCTCAGGCAAGTTACTCAATCACTCACACCTTTCTCCTCACCTGAAAAAGAGGGTACCACCACCACCTGTTCTGTAAGGTTGTTGTGGGGACTGGGAATAACATATTTTTTTTTTTTGAGACAGAGTCTCGCTTTGTATGCCCAGGCTAGAGTGAGTGCCGTGGGCAGCCTAGTCGACGCAAGCGCGCGAAACTGCCTGCGGCTTGTCGATCGCTGCCTCAGCCTCCCGAGTAGCTGGGACTGACAGGCATGCGCCACTAGCTCGGGCTACATGGTTTTATATATATATATATCAGTTGGAATTAATTTTCTTTCTATTTATAGTAGAGACGGTCTCGCTCTTGCTCAGGCTGGTTTCAAACTCCTGACCTTGAGCAATCCGCCCGCCTCGGCCTCCCAAGAGCTAGGATTACAGGCGTGAGCCACAGCGCCCGGCCTGGGAATAACATATTAAATGGCCTGTTCTTGGAAGCCACTCTATAAATGGTGACCAGCTATGATCTGAAAAGCTCACTTGAAACTTTTATATTTTTCAGTTCATACCACGTAATTCTTTTGTCTAGACTGCATATATGAATTACAAGTAAATTAGAAATGCTCTGGCTATTTCTTTAAAGTGAAGGATCTGAGTGATTAGGGAAGAGGACTGACAAGCTACGAGGAGAAGGAGATGCCACTCAGTCCCCTCCTACACGAAACCGGACTGATGGCTCTCTGAGGGCAGACTGTTGCTCTGTTTACCCCACGACTGCAAACAAATTTTCCTAAAGCAAGCTAACTGCTGTAGCCGTAGGCCTCTCCTAACTGCTTACACGACTCCCAAACACGGGCCCACAATAATTTTGTATCGCACAATATCGACTCACACAAACATCTCAAAATTTTACAGTAGTTTAATTGTACTGCAATAGTAAAATCAAAGACGAGCGCCTTAAGTCGGGTGCCTATGAGGTAACCATAACAAAGTGACACCTGTAATAATGAGACCAGGAACACCTGGCGAGCAGGGAGTGAGTGTCCAGCAGAGCGCTCGACCGACCGAACTGGCACAATCCCTTGAGGTCGGAATTGGAACCCAGAACTTCTGGCGAAGGACAAGAAAGAAGATCCCCCAGGGTGAAAGGGGCCTTTCAGGCCAAGCGCACCTGGCCGGAACTTTCTGCTGGAGGTGGACCCCCACACGCCCACACCCCCACCCCGGGCCGGCCCCGGGGTCCGCGACCCCGACTGCGGGCGCGCGGCGCGGAAGCGCGCCCCGAGTGGCCCGGGTCGTCAGCCCTTCCTGCACGGCAGAGGGCAGCGGCTCCCTCCCGTCAGGAAACCCTGACAGCCCGCGCTCGCAGCCCGCCGGCCCCGCCTCGCCAGGCCGGCCGGCGGCTTCCCCGGCGGAGGGGCCCGGCCGCGCCCCCTCCACTCCCCGCCCGGGCCCAGCGCGCCCCCAGCCTCACCGGGTCGGAGCTGGAGGCCGCCGTCGCGGCGGCTGCACCACAGCGCGCGCTCGCCCTGCTGCAGGATGTAGTGGTCCTTGGCTTGGAAGAGCTCCATGCCGGCCCGCGCGCCGAGGGAGGCGGCGGCCCGCGGGGGGCGCACGGGGCGTCCTCGTCGGCCGCGGCCGCCAGAGCCCGCGCCCCGGGAGCAGCGAGGAGGGACGGCGCGGGGGAGCGGCGGCGAGGGAACGCCCCGGGGGCCCGACCCGCCGGCGGAGAACGCGCCCCGGCGCGGCGCCGGCCGTAGAGGCCTCTCCCCCGGCTCCTCCCCTTCCCTGGCCCCTCCCCGACCCACCCCGGGCCGCTGGCTCCACCCCGTCGCCGCCAGGCTCCGCCCCGAGCCCCGGTTCCGCCCCCTGCTGCCACTCTTTCCCGCCTCTTTCTCCTTTCGGCTCCCTCTCCCTGCCCTTTCCTCCGGCTTCTCCCGCTTCCTGCTCCCTCTGCTCCTTCCGCCCGCCTCCCGCTCTCCCGCAGGCCCTTCCCCGGCCGGCCCGCCGGAGGGCAGACCCCGAGCCTGGCTGAGGGTGGCCGGGCCCGCCGCCCTCCTCCGCGGTCTCGGGGCAGACGCCCACCCGTGGGGCTGGGGCGTCCCCTCCCGTGCCGGCGGCTACTCCGGCCTCCCGCCAGCCCCGACGGAACCCAGGCCGAGTCCCCACACCCGGCCCGACAGCCCCTCCGCCCGCGGGCCTTAGCTGCCCGCAGAGACCCGCACCCGAGAGCTGGAAGATGCGACCCACCGGGCTGGGTACAGGGCTTCGTCCCCAGCCATGCTCTCCGCCGAGCCCAGGCGTCTTCTGTTGTGGTATTTCCTACTAGAACAGACTTTCGACAACAGCAGGCGTTCAATACGTGCACGAGGGGAGCATGCAACAATAGGAAATACACGAGAGTCGGCAGCACGGGGCTAAATAGAGAGGAGGAAAGTACAGGTGCTATTGTGTTCCGAATTAAGCAGGATGAGTCTGAGAAGGTTTCATAAAGCGAGGCAGTCAATGAAGTGGAAGGGACACAGCTTGGCGAGGATAAGATGAATGGAAAACTTGTGGAAGGAGTCTCTCCCAAGCATCTCTTGAGCTCAGCCTATCTTGAAAAACCAGTTGGTATGAAAGGGTTTGGGGAATGAGGCCCTAGTTCCAGACCCAGTTCGGGTTCTGTCCAGCTGTGTCATCTAGTTCCTTGACCTCAGGTGGGGTTGAACTAATGACCTTTTTTTTTTTTTTATAAAAATTTTAAAATTCTTTTTCTTTTTTTTTTTCTTTTTTCACAAGAGGTATCAAATGCTACACTAATGAACTTTAATTACACTCCCAGTTCTACAAATCAGTGAGTCTTTATAGTCCTATCTCCTGTGGTCTCTAATGCCTGAGGCAGAAATAAGAGAAAAAGACAAGAGGTAGGAGACAGTGCTAGAAAAGGGAGGCAATGCTTTTTTATTATTATTATTATTTTTTTTTAGTGACAGAGTCAGCCTGTTGCCCAGGCTAAAGTGCATTGGCCAGATCACAGCTCACAGCTCACAGCCACAAACTCCTGGGCTCAAGCAGTCCTGCCAGCCTCTGGAGTAGCTGAGACTGCAGGTACCCACCACTATGCCTGGCTAATTTTTTTTTTTTTTTGTCTGTAGATATAAGATCTGCTATGTTGCTCAGGCTGGTCTAGAACTCCTGGCCTCAAACAATCCTCCTGCCTCAGTCCCAAAGCGCTGGCATTAACAGGTGTGAGCCACCTTTGCCAGCAAGGAGGCAGTACTTTTTAACCATCTGCTCAAATAAAAGTGAGAGGGCCCGTGAGAGGGCCCAAAAGCAGGAAGGAGTTCCACATTACTAATTATTCCAGCCCACAGTGATTTCATTATTGAATTTCCATAGCACAGAAAGTCCCATGACAACAAAATGTCCTGGAATCTTTTCTGATAAGTACCATGCCTTCTGGGCTGTCCAGACATCTCAACATATAGGGGGTGGTTATTATACTAAACCTTTGTATTGTGATTTGGACAAAGACAATAAAGATAAGGTTCAGTGGAACCATCAGTTTCAGATTTATTGTTGAATTCAGCCATATGTTGTTGACTTTCCTTAGCAAAAATGAGTGATGGGAAATCCTATGAAGACAGAATGTCCTGCAAGTTATTTCATTATAGTTTTAATGAATCACATTGTCAGATGTGAACAAAGCAATACTGTTGCAACTGTTTTAAGACAATTAATTAGTTGATTAAAACTTTTCCTGTGACATTCCTATATTTTTAGCTAAAAAAAAAAAAAATAAAAAATAAAAAAATAAATAAAAAAAAATAAATAAAACTTTTCCTGATGTTTCATATCAGTGGATCCGACCCTGGTTACCTATTAGAAACACTTGGGCAGTTTTTCCAGCCATAACAATGCTCAGACCTCAGACCAATTAAACCAGAATTTAATTGGGATGGGGCTCTGGCATCAGTATTTTTTTTCCTAAGCTCCCCAGATGACTCTAATGTGCAGCCAGGGTTGAACACCACTGTTTTAAATGAAATTAATTACAAAAACCTACCTGACTGCAGCTTAGAAGAAAACAGTGGTCAGTCATTAACTAATATCATTGTATGGTGGTGGTTACCTGTAAATCCAGAGTTAACAAGCAAAGTTTTTAGGAAAGAGGAAAACATGGAGGGAAGATGTTCCTGTAATTCATCTGACCCAAATGTACACTGCTCTCCCCCTCAGGCATAAAACACATGCTCCGCTTGGGGGTAGGAAGAGCCCTCGCCTGGCTGAGCAGAGTGAAAAGAGTAAATGCTCTCTGTCCCCTGCAAACATCACATCCCCAGTCCCCTCCCACAGCTGTCCTGCCTTACTCCGGATATGGACTTGCTGAACCTTGGACCCTGCAGCTTCTCCACTCCCTGGCTGGCCGCTCCATCCTTGGCCTGTGGCTACCTGCCAGGCTTCATCACCCTCTTCCAGCTTCCTAATTCAAGGTCCTCCTGCCCTGGTGTCACCCAGGTTATAGTAGAAAGTGCATGTGATGCTGCTCTGTTTTTAAACATGGATGACCACGCTAAAAATTATATATCTTCTTTTACATGTATGGCATATTTATACTAATTTAAGTATATTCACTAAGGACTCAGGTTCTAGCCAGTTCTGTGTGATCAATTCACTTAAACTCTTTTAGTCTCAGTTTCCTTATTTATTAAAAGAGATGATCACTAAGTATTCTGCCAGTGGTGAAATCAATGAATGTGAGGAAATGTGTTCACATAGTTAGACTGACACAACAATGGTAAATATCCCCACTCTGATTATTGATTTGGCCCTTCAATGTCAGGTTTATTACTTATTTATCTCTGAGGTATTGGGGTTTTGATTAGACTTTGGTGTACTCTGGTGAAATTTGACTTTTAATATCATCTCCCATCTTCTACTTGTCCACAGTCTTGTATGTTGTTTGTCTATGAGAACTTTCTTCAGTCTTATCTGTGTATGAGAAATCTCCCAAAGGAGAGATTTTATATATTTTTTTTTGCCCTACCAGGAGGCTGCTTATTTCTCAGGTCTGCAGTTGGGGTGGCTTAACCTTAGGGTGAGGGGCCTAAGACAGTCACAAACTGTGATCGTTAGTTTTGTCAAGTTCACTAGGCTAAGGGATGCCCGGAGAGTTGGTTAAATGTTACTTCTGCGTATATGTGTGGGGAGGTTTCCAGAAGAGATTGGCATTTATTGGTAGACTGAGAAAAGAAGATCCGCCCTCACTAGTAAGGGTGAGCATCGCCCAGGCCTTGAGGGCCAGAATAGAACAAAAAGGCAGAGGAAGGGCACGTTTGTTCAGCGCTGCGACGTTCATCTCCTCCTGTCCTCAGACAGCTGAGCTCCTGCTTCTCAGGATTGCAGACTTGGACTGGGGCTTACACCATTGGCCTCCCTGGATCTGGGGCCTTCAGGTTGGACTGGAACTAACTATCCCACCGGCTTTTCTGGTTCTCCAGCTTGTAGAAGGCAGATTGTGGGACTTCTTAGCCTCCCTAATCTCATGAGCCAATGCATTATAATAAATTTCCTTCTATATATCTACATCTATTCTATTGGTTCTGTTTTCTCTGGAAAACCATAGGGACAGAATACAATGTGCTGAATATTTATGTCCTCTTCAAATTCATATGTTGAAATCCTAACTGACAAGGCAATAGTATTAGGAGGCATGGCCTTTGGGAGGTGATTAGCTCATTAATGCCCTTACAAAAGAGACTGCAGTGAGATCCCTTGCCCCTTCCACTATGTGAGGGCACCACGAGAAAACAGATGTCCATCTATGAACCAGAGAGCAGGCCCTCATCAGACACTGAATCTGCTAGCACCTCAATCTTTCCAGCCTCCAGAACTGTCAGAAATAAATTACTGTTGTTTGTAAGCCACCTAGTCTATGATATTTTGTTGTTAGCCCAAACAAACTAAGACAAGCCAAATGTTTACATTTGACCAATCTTAGCCAATTTCCTATAAGTTTGTCTGCCAGTAAACTTGTGCTACCTCCTCACATAACCTCATCAAGAACAACCAGAAATTGTAATGACTATTTTGGAGCACATTGACATGTAAAAGTTGTTCAGCTGAGAAGTACCATAGAACAAAAAGGAGAAAAGTACTTCATAAGGAGACTATCATGTTGGTCTAAAGGTGAGAGATATCACTTTGTCTAAGGTAGAAGTAATCCTAGCTCTCTGGCAGGCTGAGGCAGGCAGATGTTGAACTCAGAAGTTCGAGACCAGCCTGAGCTAGAGCAAGAACCTGTCTCTACTAAAAAATAGAAAGAAATTAGCTGGACAACTAAAAATATATAGAAAAAATTAGCCAGGCATGGTGGTGCATGCCTGTAGTCCCCCAGCTACTTGGGAGGCTGAGGCAGAAGGATCGCTTGAGCCCAGGAGTGTGAGGTTGCTGTGAGCTAGGCTGATGCCATGGCACTCCAGCCCGGGTAACAGAGTGAAATGCTGTCTCAGAAAAATAAATAAACCGGGCACGGTGCCTCACGCCTGTAATCCTAGAACTCTGGGAGGCAAAGACGGGCAGATTGCTCGAGGTCAGGAGTTCGAAACTAGCCTGAGCAAGAGCGAGACCCCGTCTCTACTATAAATAGAAAGAA